CTCCTCAGGTGCAGCGTGACCTCCTCAAAAGCAGCGAGACCTCCTCAGGAGCAGCGAGACCTCCTCAGGAGCAGCGTGACCTCCTCAGGAGCAGCGAGACCTCCTCAGGTGCAGCGAGACCTCCTCAGGAGCAGCGTGACCTCCTCAGGAGCAGCGTGACCTCCTCAGGTGCAGCGTGACCTCCTCAGAAGCAACGAGACCTCCTCAGGAGCAGCGAGACCTCCTCAGGAGCAGCGAGACCTCCTCAGGAGCAGCGAGACCTCCTCAGGAGCAGCGTGACCTCCTCAGGAGCAGCGTGACCTCCTCAGGTGCAGAGTGACCTCCTCAGGTGCAGCGTGACCTCCTCAGGAGCAGCGTGACCTCCTCAGGTGCAGCGAGACCACCTCAGGAGCAGCGTGACCTCCTCAGGAGCAGCGTGACCTCCTCAGGTGCAGCGTGACCTCCTCAGAAGCAGCGAGACCTCCTCAGGAGCAGCGAGACCTCCTCAGGAGCAGCGAGACCTCCTCAGGTGCAGCGTGACCTCCTCAGAAGCAGCGAGACCTCCTCAGGAGCAGCGAGACCTCCTCAGGAGCAGCGAGACCTCCTCAGGAGCAGCGTGACCTCCTCAGGAGCAGCGTGACCTCCTCAGGAGCAGCGTGACCTCCTCAGGTGCAGCGTGACCTCCTCAGAAGCAGCGAGACCTCCTCAGGAGCAGCGAGACCTCCTCAGGAGCAGCGAGACCTCCTCAGGTGCAGCGTGACCTCCTCAGGAGCAGTGTGACCTCCTCAGAAGCAGCGAGACCTCCTCAGGAGCAGCGTGACCTCCTCAGGAGCAGCGTGACCTCCTCAGGTGCAGAGTGACCTCCTCAGGAGCAGCGAGACCTCCTCAGGAGCAGCGAGACCTCCTCAGGTGCAGCGTGACCTCCTCAGGAGCAGCGTGACCTCCTCAGAAGCAGCGAGACCTCCTCAGGAGCAGCGAGACCACCTCAGGAGCAGCGTGACCTCCTCAGGAGCAGCGTGACCTCCTCAGGTGCAGAGTGACCTCCTCAGGTGCAGCGTGACCTCCTCAGAAGCAGCGAGACCTCCTCAGGAGCAGCGAGACCTCCTCAGGAGCAGCGTGACCTCCTCAGGAGCAGCGAGACCTCCTCAGGTGCAGCGAGACCTCCTCAGGAGCAGCGTGACCTCCTCAGGAGCAGCGTGACCTCCTCAGGTGCAGCGTGACCTCCTCAGAAGCAACGAGACCTCCTCAGGAGCAGCGAGACCTCCTCAGGAGCAGCGAGACCTCCTCAGGAGCAGCGAGACCTCCTCAGGAGCAGCGTGACCTCCTCAGGAGCAGCGTGACCTCCTCAGGTGCAGAGTGACCTCCTCAGGTGCAGCGTGACCTCCTCAGGAGCAGCGTGACCTCCTCAGGTGCAGCGAGACCACCTCAGGAGCAGCGTGACCTCCTCAGGAGCAGCGTGACCTCCTCAGGTGCAGCGTGACCTCCTCAGAAGCAGCGAGACCTCCTCAGGAGCAGCGAGACCTCCTCAGGAGCAGCGAGACCTCCTCAGGTGCAGCGTGACCTCCTCAGAAGCAGCGAGACCTCCTCAGAAGCAGCGTGACCTCCTCAGAAGCAGCGTGACCTCCTCAGGAGCAGCGTGACCTCCTCAGGAGCAGCAACACCTCCTCAGGAGCAGCAACACCTCCTCAGGTGCAGCGAGACCTCCTCAGGAGCAGCGTGACCTCCTCAGAAGCAGCGTGACCTCCTCAGGAGCAGCGTGACCTCCTCAGGAGCAGCGAGACCTCCTCAGGAGCAGCGAGACCTCCTCAGGAGCAATAAGCATTGTTTTGAATGGCGCTCTGTGACGTGACGCGGCGTGAGGGACGTCGTCGGGGGGACTCCGGTTTTCAGTGAAGTTTAACGGTGAAGCTGCTGATTTTCTTTTCCTTCCATTCTGCTTCACCGCGACTTCACCGACGCCGTTTCTGTGGCGACGTGGGCCGATGTCATTTCCTTCTGTTATAACCTATCAGCGGGAGTTAACCACAAGCCCCGCCCAGTGACTCTTCCAGACCATTCCTAATACCCACCCCAGCTGAGGTACTCCTTGGTTCCTTTTGGGTCACGGGTCACACGCATGGTCCTAATGGTTCTGATGGTCCGGATGGTTCTGATGGTCCGGATGGTTTTGATGGTCCGGATGGATCTGATGGTCCGGATGGTTCTGATGGTCCGGATGGTTCTGATGGTCCGGATGGTTTTGATGGTCCGGATGGATCTGATGGTCCGGATGGTTCTGATGGTCCGGATGGTTCTGATGGTCCTAATGGTTCTGATGGTCCGGATGGTTCTGATGGTCCTAATGGTTCTGATGGTCCGGATGGTTCTGATGGTCCGGATGGTTCTGATGGTCCGGATGGTTCTGATGGTCCTTGTCACGGCTGCCAGCCTGAAGAGGGAAAAAGCAGCCAGGATCACCCAGCTCTGGTGACTGACTGGACACCGCCCCTCCTCCTCCTCTCTTCCAGGCTGCTGAGGAGCACAGCTGAGCTGAACCCTCCTGATGAGCCACACCTGGATGAAAAGGCTGAGCCTTCAGCAGTCTGGGAGGCAGCAGTGCAGCGGTTCTGCTGTTCTCCAGGCCTCGGTTTGGTTTCAACCCCTTTGAGTTGCAGAGTTTTAACTCTGAGTGATCCACATGGGTCTTTTGTGCATGTCACCTAGTGTTGACTGTTCGTTGGTTTTTAACGTTAACTTCGTTTGTTGCAATTTTATTTACTTCGTATTTAAACACCGTCTGTTCCGGTAAAACTTTAAACATAAGCTTTAACTGGGTGATTTTAATGTTGGTAACTGCTCTTTTAATGTTAACCTTTTAGAGTATTTCTGTTTAGTATTATCTTAATGATGCTCGCCTCTGTTTGCTTGTGTTTTTAATACCTTTTTGTACAAATAAACCCTTTTTAAACTCCTCCGCCAGTTTTTATGTTACCCCCATCCTTCACATTTTACCATCTCATGTCGGGGACGTAACGGTCCTGATGGTTCTGATGGTTCTGACGGTGGAAACGGGCCTGTTGACCCAGCTGGTTCGGGTCTTTAGGCTGAAAGGAAAATGTTTCCTGATGGACTTCAGCTACTGTTTGGTTTTAGTCTTCATTGAAATTTCATCAGGAATCGGATCAGAACCAGAGGTCGATTCGGGTCAAACTCTGAACACTCGTAAGACTTGATTTTGCCGTGTCGGCAGGTTTGAACATCTGGTCAACAGCTGTTGATTCATGAAAGTGGAAGTTTTTGATCCGACCTCACCAATCAGCTGCATCGGGTCAAGTCGACCCGGTCAGAGGAACCAAAAGATTCTGACTTCAGCTTTTCAACACATCAGCAGATATCTGTCCTGTTCCACGCTGACATCACCGCTAGATTCAACACCCGGACGCACATTTGTGCCTTTATGCTGTTTATTCTGCTGCTAGTCGCCTAACCTAACCCAACCCTCACCCCGCGGTGCCGGGTTAGGGTGAGGGTTAGGTTAGGCGAGGGTTAGGTTATGTGAGGGTTAGGGTGAGGGTTAGGTTAGGGTGAGGATGAGGGTTAGGGTTGGACCATAAGTAGCTTTAACCTCATCTCTGGGAATATCCATCAACATGTTGCTAACGAGGAATTCAGCTTTAAGCAGGTGTTGACAAATGTCGACGGCTTCGTAGCCTACACCCGTGAAAATGGGGTCGACGCTACGGGACGACGCATTGCATCATCGACCAGAACACCTGTCGGTCTCTGTGTGCGTTTGATTTTGAAAATCTTTATTAACAACTTCCAAACAAACAATTTCTTGACTAAATTTTCATTCACTGCTTTTCACATTGAGGCTGAACATTCAGAGCAGGAATAATTCTCATTTATCATCTTTAGACGAACTGCTTTCCTGTGAGGAGACACTTGAGTCATTGTTCCGCTGCCTTCTCAAAATTCCCACACAGCAAAGGATTGTGGGTAATATTCTTCACCGACGTCTGCATCGGCGTGGTACTGGGCCAAGTGTGGGTCAAGGATGCAAACGTGCTCGCACCCCTGGACTGGAACGCCCAAATGAAGGGCGTGAGGGTGGAAGTGCGGGTTTTGGGATTGGGCCTGGGTCTCTGGGCAACTCATAATGGACGCCATGTTTCCTTCTACGGGATCCCGTGAGGACAGAATTCATTTACTGATTGAACAAACGGTTACAAAAGTTTTGCCATTCATAAACGTTATCTCACACACTGCCAGTGATAAACGAGGGTCTGGCGCGCTTGTCCTTTGAAAATTGCGCTCCCAGGGATTTTTGACCCTAATGGCCATCCGTTGGTGAGGTCTTACTTGAACACAAAAATTCTGCTTGCTTGCAAAGATTTCGGTACGTATACTGCCCCCTGCTGCCAGGGGAAATACTCACCCTCACTCTAAAGAGTGAGTTTATTAATAATAATTTTTATTTGTAAGCGCCTTTCAGACCCTCAAGGTCGCTGAACATCAGAATTAAAAGCAGTAGACAAATTCCTCTACTGTGGGATCAATAAAGCCTATTCTATGTTATAAAGTAAAGTTTAGTTAAACCAGCTGGTTATGGTGGTTAAACACAGCCAATCAGAACATGGCATGATCTAAAGCAGGGGTCACCAACCTGGTAGCCCTTTGTGTGGCTCAGTACCCAGGAAGTACCTTCAGCTTCACAACGGTCGGTGACCCCTGACCTAAAGAGTGACAAATAAAGTTTTAATTCAAACCAGAACAGATGTTAGAGTTTGTGTTTGTGTGGAAAAATGAAGACAAACTGTTTTAATCCAGTAGATTATGGTGATCAGCCAACTCCTAAACTAGGAGCCGCATACGCGCGCACACACACACACACACACGCACACACACACGCACACACACACACACACCTGAGTCAGCAGAAGGTCAGTGAGAAGTCCCCATAAGTCCTAAAAACGAGCATGTGTGTTTAAAGAAAGAGGAAGTGGTGAGTTTGTATAAAACGAGCCGCTGCAGCGGTTCTGATCATCTTCTGATCGGATCAGCAACCCTCCAGCAGAACCTCTCTCCATCTGAGACGTGAGTTTATTATTTAATACAACCTTCTTTAAGAAAACTTTCAACTGTTTTAAATAGAAAAGTTTGATGGTTTGTTCACAAAAAGAAATCAGAACATCTCAAGCCTGTAAAAGCAGCGAGTAACCAGTAACCAGTAACCAGTAACCAGTAAACCTTTAAAAGTTCAACCATGAGTTAAAATGTTTCCAGTTCTCATAAACAGCCGTTATATTCATGGAACTGTTTTACTGATTTATTGATCATTTATCCCGTCGTTTATTTCTGTTTATTTCATTTATTTTCTATTTAAAAATTTTTTATTCATTAATTAAATAATTAATTCATCCTTTTTATTCACTAAAAGCTAAAAGTTTGTCACTTCTAATATTAACACTCAAATTCACTGGTGTGTGTGTGTGTGTGTTTGTGTGTGTGTGTGTGTGTGTGTGTGTGTGTGTGTGTGTGTGTGTGTGCGTGCGTGCGTGCGCGTGTGTGCGTGCGTGTGCGTGTGTGTGTGTGTGTGTGTGTTTGTGTGTGTGTGCGTGTGCGTGTGTGTGTGTGTGTGTGTGCGTGTGTGTGTGTGCGTGTGCGTGCGTGTGCGTGTGTGTGTGTGTGTGTGTGTTTGTGTGTGTGTGCGTGTGCGTGTGTGTGTGTTTGCAGCCTCCACTGACAACCATCCACCATGTCGTTTGCGAGCTTTAAGGGCCGCTACCAGAGGCCGGTAAGGTCTTGTTCCCACATCTCACCCAGTTCTGAGTGAAGAACCTGAGTAACTTCTGAGGCTCTTTTGTCTCTGATGATCTCCAGGTTCCGACCACCAACCTCATGGTCAACGAGGAAGACTTTGACCGTTTTGAACAGTTGGACGATGACTCGGACTTCATGCCCCGAGCTCCTCCTCCTGGAGTTGGTGAGGTCCAGTTAATTTCAGGTTCTGCTGCTGCTGCTGAGGCTCTAGGAGTAAAAACGTGATGTTCTCTTCCTGTTGTTGCTTCCTTCAGAAGCGCTGAGTGTGGTGGGTGTCAACACCAGGCAGGACCTGAACGAAGGGCCACACAACACCCACGATTACGTCACCAATCAGCTAGTGGTCCGACGCGGGCAGCAGTTCACCATCGATGTTACCTTCAACCGCCCTCTGACACCACAAGATGACTTCCAGGTGGAGTTCCTGATTGGTGAGTTTGAATCCTGATCTGTGCTCTGATTGGCCGGTTGGGGGTTTATTGACAGTGACTATAAATCAGCAGCGAGAAGCTGCACATTTTCCTTTTACTCTAAAAACACTCGCTAAAGACCGCTGTCCCTTTGAGAAAACACGAGTTTACCCATCAACTGTTGGGTATTAACAGCATCTTTACCTTTGGTAGATGTCTGCATGGTGAATGAACCCATATTAGTGAGGAGTTGTGTTTTTGTCCCTCATTTGGAAAGGATTACCAGCCATCATGTTAGGGAACGTTTTAGTCAGAGATGTGGTCAGGCTGTCGCTGTCCACCTCCTGTGGGTCCTTTTGTGAGTCAAAAGTAAGATTAGAGATGACCTGTTGGTTTCTTTAACCCTCTAGGCTCTGACCCCTCCCCCAACAAGGGCTCCCTGGTGGTGGTGACCTTTGGGAACCGTCCTGGTGGATCGTGGACGGGCCAGATTGTTGGCGCTCAGGGCCCTGTGACGTCCCTCGGCATAACGCCAAACCCCAGGGCTATCGTGGGTTTGTATCGTTTATATGTGGCTGTGAGTGTGGGAAGCAGCCTGCAGCGCACCGATAGAAACCCTGCCACCGACCTGTACGTGCTGTTCAACCCCTGGTGTCCAAGTAAGCACCCAACCCCCACCAATAGTTAGGTTGTTTTGTTAGGAGCTAAAACCCAAAACTGAATGTGATCTTTCGCAGATGATGACGTGTTTTATCCTGACGATGCTGGACGCTACGAGTACGTCTTGAACTCCACCGGTCTGATCTACCAGGGAACGAATACGGCAGTGACGGAGCGCGGTTGGGTTTACGGACAGGTGACTCCGGTCCAGGTAAACGTATCATGAACTAAACGTTTTAATGAGTTTTGTCTTGCTGCCCTGCAGTTTGAGGCGGGCGTTTTAGATGCTTGTATTTACATCTTGGATACCTGCCGGATGCCCATTGATAATCGGGATGATGTCATCAAAATCGTTCGAACAGCCTCGGCCATGGTGAGATGATGTCACAGTTAGACGACAAATGTTTTTTCATGGATAGTTTCTTACTCACTGGTTTCTTATCTTCCTTTCACCAGATCAACTCTCAGGATGACAATGGAGTGTTGGTGGGAAACTGGGGAGAGGATTTCTCCATGGGAACGGCCCCAACATCCTGGACTGGGAGTTCTGCAATTCTGCTCCAGTACCACAACACTGGTGCGCCTGTGTCGTTTGCCCAGTGTTGGGTTTACGCCGCAGTCCTGAACACCTGTAAGACCCTGCTCTGGTCAGGTTTCCATTTAGGACATCCAGGAAACAAACAAACTGTTGTTTCTGTCCCTTTAGTCCTTCGCTGCCTCGGCATTCCAACCAGACTCATCACCAACTTCAACTCAGCCCACGATAACAACGGAAACCTGAAGATCGAACTGATCTTCAAAGCCGATGGCTCACCGGACCGACGCAACACCAGAGACTCCATCTGGTTGGTCCGAGCAGCCTGATTACAAATGAGAACCTAATAAAACTAATTAAGATTTACTTACCCATAACCTAAACAACAACTTTTTTTCATCCAGTTTTTTTTAATATATGTTGACACTAATAATCAACCTGAACTGATCTGGCTCCTCCGCAGGAACTACCACTGCTGGAATGAAGCCTTCATGAAACGTTCAGATTTACCTACCCAATACTCCGGCTGGCAGGTGGTGGACGCCACGCCCCAAGAAACCAGCGATGGTAGGACAGACAAAAACTAAAAGACAAAACACAAATGGCTGATTGACAAGTTTCTTTTTGTGCTGAAGGTTACTTCCGCTGTGGTCCAGCTGCCATTGCTGCTGTCAAAGAGGGTGACCTGTGTTACCCGTTTGACTCTGGCTTCGTCTTTGCTGAGGTTAGACAAACCAGGAACCCAAGTTTTCCAGGTCCCAGTGTCTTTAGAGACAATCAGCTAATCTGAGCTAATGGCTAGTTTTAGCTAACAACTAGGAGCTAATGGCTCGTTTTAGCTAACAACTAGTCTGTGCTAATGGCTCGTTTTAGCTAACAACTAGTCTGTGCTAATGGCTAATTTGAGCTAAAAACGAGTCTGATTAGCTTCAATGTCCTAAATCTCAGGATTGCTACATGGTTGTTTACATGGAATGATGTGATTATTTAAATGGAATCCCATGCTTCTATAGATGTCCAGGGTTCAAGTTATTCAGGAGGAATTTATTTCCCTTCTCCAAAGCATTTGGCATGAGGTCAATTATCAAATGTACACATACAACAAACTAGAACAATACTCAATAAATACACAAGTCTGTTGTGTGAGCCTTAAAGAGCAACTGCAGTCAATAATTTATATTTTTGTTCTTATTCACATTTTATTTTGACATTCGTTTGTTTCAGTTTCCAGTCTCCAGCCTGCGGGTCTGGATTAATAATCTGCTCAAAACGGCACTCCTCAGAGTTATACTCAGTTCCACCAGTAGGTGGCACTAATACAGAGAACTGAATTAGAAATTCTGTTTTGGACATTATAATTATATAAAATGAGAACAAACACATCTTCCAGCAACAGGGTGATTTAAGCTCTATCTATAGTCAACAGTGGGAGTGAGAGGGAGAGGGGAAAGGAGATCCAGTTAGCTAGCTGCAGCTAAAGCACCCCAGAGACATTCACTTCATGGTTTAAAATTCTCCAGTTCTCCCTAGCAACCAGACATGATTGGCTGTTCCAGCTACAGCTCAGGGGCGCTTATCCGAGCCCCAGGCGTGATAGTAGTGAGTCTGTTTAATGAGAGACAGCTGGTGAAATAGGTACACACAGTTAGGCAAAGCTGACTCATTTATAGTAAATAAATGTTATTGTTTTATATACTTTTTAAAATTTTAACTCCATTCACATCAGAGAGGGTGGCGCCCTAGCGCCCCCTGTGGACGAGCCACCACTGGTTTGGTGTGTCAAATTTACAAATGTCTTATTTGGAGATTCAAACTGGAACCCACCCAGTGTCTTGTTTTGTGCCTCTCAGGTGAACAGTGATGTAATATACTTGAAAAGCGATCGTTATGGCAACATGACTCCGTTCCGGGTGGACACAGCTTATACTGGAATCCTCATGTACACCAAAGCTGTGGGCAGCTGGTCTCCTGAGGACATCACACACAACTACAAGTATCCTGAAGGTAACAGCTGATCGCTCGTACGACAGCACCAGTCTAAATGGTGAAGGTCCTGAAGCGCAGCGATGATCCTTGTCTGCAGGCAGTCCTCAGGACAAGCAGTCCATGGCTCGGGCCGAACAGTACGGATGTCAGCGGGATCACTCCGACGTTCCTGCTGGGAAGCTGACCCTTGACATCACGTCTGAATCGGTGACGTATCCATCAAGGATCAAACTAAACAAAGGTGTTGTTTGTGCCGCAGGAAAACGTGTAAATAACGTCACAGGATGTAGAAATTTAGAGATAACAGATTTGAACTTGGTGAAAAACAGTTTCAGCTTAAAGTTTCATCAAGTTGCATTCTGGAACATGTGGAAAGTTTTCCAAAAGAAGGCTGAATTCATTCTTTGAAACGTCAGAATTTTCTTTATTGGGACATTAAAGACATCTAGAAGGTTAGAGGATCAAAGGTGGGTCCTGATGATGAGCGGCTGGAGTTAAACCGGTAAATGAAGCTTATCTAGGATGTCCTCCCATCCAGACTCTCGTCGGGCAGCCTGTGAGGATCCTGGTGACCTTCTACAACCAAAGTGAGCTCCATAAGACCGCGAAAGCCCACATAGAGGTCTCCATGGTCTACTACACTGGAGTCGTATCAGAGAAGTTCTGGATGGAGGACTTCACCCTTCAGCTGGAGGCCTTCCACAGTGAGCAGCTGGAGTGTGTGTGTGTGTGTGTGTGTGTGTGTGTGTGTGTGTGTGTGTGTGTGTGTGCGTGCGTGCGTGCGTGCGTGCGTGCGTGCGTGCGTGCGTGTGTGTGTGTGTGTGTGTGCGTGTGTGCGTGTGTGTGTGTTCCCAGAGGTAACACCAGGTGTGTGTTCCAGACAACAGCGCCATGTTTGAGGTCAAACCTCAGGACTACATCAAGTTCATGGGCTCCAAGGCCTACCTGCACATCGTTGTGACTGGACAGTCGGACACGGAGACCACCTCTCAGGTGAAGGTGGTCAGCCTGAAGCCCCCTCCAGTCAGCATCGTGGTACGCTCCACACCGTTCACCTGGACATCACAGATTATTGGTTTAACGAGAGTTAATGAACCGTTTGCCAGGTCTGACTTTCACCAACAGCTGAGCAGGTTTCAGACACTAGGAGCATGTAGCCAGAAGATTAAAGTCCACTTTGAAAGATGGAGATTTGAATGGGAGGTCCTCAAGGCTGTAGTTTAGGCCCCATTTGATCAACAACATTAGCATGAAGGTGTCTACAGACACATTTCTCAACCTCCACCTGATGGGCGAATCCTAGGAACCATGTTGTTCAGAACACTTTGTCTCTGGTAGGGTCTCCTCTTAATGAAGGGTGAGAGAGAAGAAGACCTGTCATGTCCGCCCTGAGCGCGACCTTGACCCTGACCCCTGGTTTTCTTGTTTTAGCTGAGTGGACAACCCCAGCTGAACCGGGAGATGTATGTCACCGTCTCCTTCAGGAACACCCTGAACATGATGCTCCACAACGCCAAGATGATGATCGAGGGAGCTGGTCTGATGGACACCAGAGTGTTCAACTACAGGTAACCTCCACCCAGTGTCAGCTGACCCACCAGCAGGCGGCACCACTCATGGATCTGTGTGTTTCAGCACCATCGGCCCATTCGCTGAGGTCTCCCAGAAGGTGAGGTTCATCCCCCGGAAGCCAGGAGTCAGAACCATAGTGGCTCTGCTGGACTGCCAGAACCTACCAGAGGTACTCACCCAGTGCTTCATGAGCATCTTCTCCATCTTCTCCAACGTTTCCATGCTCCCAGAGTTGACCTCGTTGGCCCATCAGGAGGTTCACAGATAAGAATGTCTTGTACCGGTTAAAACGGCTGCAGGACCCTAACCCTGGATGAATTATTTGGGTTTAAAGAGGCTAAAAAATTCAGAAGTTTCTTCAAAAGACCAAAAACCAAATAAAATCAAACACCGGCTGAAAAGGGACCTGAATATTTATGAGTTATGTGTATTCTGGTTTTCTCGTACAGCAGGCATCTGATCTGGTCTGACATGGGAACGCCCGCGGCTGAATAAAGGCTTACATCAGCTTTATTGTTTTTCTGTTTCAGGCGACCTCCATGGTGGAAGTTCGCATCCTGCAGTAAACATCCCAAGAATCACAACAATAATCATCGCTTTCCTTTTCCAAATCACTTTAAAGCAGAAATAATGATTTTATTCTTATTTTCTTCCTCAGGTTAGAAGGTTTTTCCTTCAGTTTATTTAGTTTGAGTCCCTTTAATAAAGCTTTCATTTTTCACTTATTCATAAATTCATCAAACATGAAATCAAACCAGATCAGTGGAAGATGCTGCTTCATTAACTGTTACAGTAAAGCTTTGTTGTAAACAAACACTTTTATTGTTAAAACGAAGACCATGCTTTCTTCTAATGGAAACATGTAGCGCAGCATCTTTACGTTTTAGATTTAAATAACATTTTTAAATAATTAAAACTGAAATAAAAACTCAAACTTTATTTGTACAAATTTTACAAAAATCCTGTAAAATCTGACTTTTTTTTCAAAGTTTTATCAGGTTAAAAACCTTTAAAAATCAAATCCAGACGTTTATTGTGAAGGACAGGAGAAGGAACCAATCAGAAGAGCCATCAGACCCAGGCCCCGCCCCTTCACCTGATGACTGGAACAAACCTCTGAATTAAAACAGCTTCTGTGCTGAGATTTTTTCCTGACTGCCTCTGAACTGAACTGATTTCATGTATAAACAATAAAGCAGATTTCAAACTGAACGTTTTATTCATGTGTTGCTGCGAGCGGCCACCAGGGGGCGCGCTCACTCATGACATCCTTGCTGAACCACAAAATGACCCCTAGGGGGAGCCATTGGTCCTTTACTCCCTCACCTGAACACACCTGGAGGTTGTTTGGACCTGAACTCTGTTCAGCAGAAAACATTTAAACCTATGATTACCTGATGTTATTATGATAATGGGAAAAGGTGTTATCCCAGCTACATCCCAGCTACATCCCAGCCACATCCCAGCTATATCCCAGCCACATCCCAGCTGCATCCCAGCTACATCCCAGCCACATCCCAGCCACATCCCACATCCCAGCTACATCCCAGCTGCAT